TAATTGGGAGGGCCCCTACCAGATTTTTGAAGAAGTTAGAGGCGGCACCTACCGCCTGGAAACTCCAGACCGTAGGCAGCTAGCCAGAACTTGGAATGTAGATAACTTGTAAAAGTACTACTACTAAGGACTTGTAAATTTTTGTAAATAGAGTATATTAATGAAAGAATGTTTTATTTCCATTGTCTTTTGTACAAAGTCCCATCTGTGCAATGCACAACCGGCAACTGTCTGCTCTAAACTGAGTAGACGTAGGCTAAGTATCAAACTTAGCTATTCATACGGCCAATGGCTGGATATATTTTAAACCACCTGCTCCAACATGAGAAAGCAACCGGCGACGCCCATTCGGGTGAATTTGTCGAAGAGAACATCTCCCATTTGGGTGGTACATTGTTCTATAAATCATAACTCAAACGGCTTTAACCGACTGTCTAGGTTAAAGATAACTCACGGCCGTTTGAATGATTAATTGAAATCAAGATGCAACTGGTCAATGCTTCAAAGCAACCGGAAATTTAAATCTTGGTCGAATGTAGCCGATCTTTGCTCAAAAGCATTACAGCCGGTTACAAACCTAAATTACGCAAGGTCAAAACCTTAGCATTTAATCCATAACTTGGTTATGATGCATATGTTCGGCCAATGGCCGCCTGCATATCTACAAACGGCAATGACGGATACCCCAGGAGGAATCTGCAGCCGGTAAAAAGAATAATCTAGATTGGCCCCAGCCGGTACCGCCTGCTAATCCGACTTAGAATAAGTCTATTTTAAATGCGGTCAAGGACCGCCTATCTATTCGTCCGGATGCTTGTATGGATGGCTGCCTGCTTAGGGTTGGATAATTTTAAGCAAACAACCGTCCAGGAGCAGGTAGAGCCAATGCATCCGGCATACCGTATGTATCGATTCAAATTGCAAAAAAGAAAGATTTGTACGAGGCAAAAATCGCAAAAATTGCAAAAATTGAAGCAAATAATATCAAGGCAAAACCGACTCAGTTGGCAAATATATTAAAAAAGAAAATAAGGATTGTCAGCCGCACCTATGTCCGGGGAAAGAGATACAAGTAAAACTACACGGCTCGTAGGCCGGATGAAGAAAGGAAGCAGAAAACAAATTAAGCTACTGCTGCTACTGTTGTTGTTGTTGTGACGGCTGGCCCTGGCCGGCAGGAGGAGCATCTTGGGTTTGGGCTTGAGCTTCGTCAGCCCCGCCCGGCATTTGATCTTCCCCTGCTGCTCTTCCTCTTCGGGAATGCCGACCCACTCTTCAAAGGGCGCCGACTTCTCGGTTCCGAGAACCAGGGCATCAAACACCTCAGTGGCGTATTTGTACCGCAGGTCAAAGAAGGCATAGTCGATGTCCGGATGGATCATAGACCAAGCCATCTTCATGCGCTCTTCACAGTCGCGCTCATTCTCGGTCACCTGCCGGTCTTGTTCAGCCGCCTGCTTTTCTTTGTGGTCCGCCTGGTCTGGGCCAACTCATTCTTCAACCGGTTGACCTCTGCCCACAGCTCGGTGTTCTCTTTGTCAGCATCCCCCAAGGCTTTGACGTCAGCCTGGAGGTTTTTGATTTGGAGTTCACAGTCAGCTGCTTTCTTGTTGGCTGTATCAGCAGCAGCCGTGAGCTCCTTGATAAGCTCCTCCTGTTTCATCTCCCGACTTTTAGTTTGGATTTCATACATTAGGGAGTTATATTGGGTAACATCAATGAGTTCGGCTGCCCTTCTCTGGGCATCCCTTACCTCCTCCTGCTTCTTTCTCAAGGGAACCTTGAGGCCTTCTATTCTGATCATTGTCTGCAAGAATAGTCGGAAAAGGGTTAAATCATTCGAATAATGTGCAACCGGCAAAAAGATGAAAATACATTGTATAGACCAGCCGGTGGCAAGCCAGATTGGCCCTCAATACCCCAACCGGCGAAATTACCTCAGCAAGAAGAGCAGTAAGGCGGTCAAGGTTGACCTGGTGCACTGCCGGCACCACCTCCTTCTCGGACCGGGTTAGGGTCCTTAGCATTCTCTTGGCGTAACTTTGGAGATCCGGCCAACGAGAAGAGGCATCTGCATCAATAGATTTATCGGTTACGTACTGAGCATATGCGGCACCTATATTCTGCCGGCTGCCTTAAGAATCCCCTGATTGGGTAGCTTGGGACTTGACTCGCATAGGCCGCGGCCAGGGGGGATCAAAGGTGAGAGCAGTACTTTGATTTTCAGGCTGAGGGGTCCGCATTGGAGCTGGATGCAACAACAAGCACCCCGCTTAAGGGAACCTCGAGCTCCCTAGTTCTGACCTCAGCCGGCCCTGAGCCCAAGCCAGGATCTTTCAGGGATTTTCCTGCGGATGTAGGCCTCTCAGGCGCAGGCGGCCTTCCGGTAGAGGCAGGGGCAGCCGGGACCCTCCGGCTTTTTGAAGCAGGCAGGGAAGGCTCCTCTCCCGGTCTCTTCAGCATTTGCCTAATGGAGCGAGGAACATTCTTGCTCCCCATTTGCAAAAAGAAAACAACTCAGCTAGTTAGTATCTAAATAAGCTACAAATAATACAGATGGTAAAGAGCTCAGCCGGCGCTTACCCCATCATCTTTGGCCGCCAGCTGGGCCCTCTTTTTCTCTAATTGATCCTTCCAGATCTCAGCAGCAGATTTAGTCGGTGTCTTTTCAGGAGGCACCATTTCTAATCCTTTCTCTGCAAGAAAATAAAAAATCAGAACTCATTCAAGTATGATACAAACAGCATAAAGTGTCGGTTAACAATTAACATACTTCTGCTCCAAAATGTGCTAAGGCCACAGGCGGAAAGGAAGGCCTCGTCCTTAAGCCAGTCCGGATGAGGGACCCAGTGTTTGGGGACAATGACTTCTGTCCCATCATCCAAAGGCAAGGTGGTCTTTTTGAAAAGACCTGTCTCCATTATTTGATCTCAAGCCCTCTCCGGTACTTTGGGAAGGGCGCACTTCTTTCCCAAGAGAGCCGGCTGTGTGTTGTAGCGACGCAGCCGGTGGTTAAGTTGCGGAGAGGGGAAGAAACCATGTAAAATTTGCTCTTCCAGTTGCTCCACTTAGACGGCTTATTTAGCGTCATCATATATTCCGGATGCGTGGTCAATGTATACCACGCATTCCAGCCGTGCGCGGTTGAGGTAGTGCATATGTGCAAACGCCTCCCAGCTAGGCGTTATGTCCTGCATCTCGCATGCGGCGATGTATCATAGTATGTTCACCCATGAGTTGGGTGTTAGCTGCCACGCCAAGGTCGTAACCCCTTAGAATGGCTTTTATTGTGTTGTGAAGAGGGAACCGGAGGTCGGCTTTGAATGCCGCCTCATAGCAACCAAAGTAGTCATCGGCGTGGTCAAGGTTGTCCTCCCAGACGACGGATGCTTCTATGGGCGGCACAACAATTTCCCATCCGACCCCTACCGGACGCTTTTCTAAAAGTGCCAAAAGGGTTGCGTTATCACGGGCGCTCATATGCCCCTCTGTTGGAATGTTGATAGAGGGCCACTTATATGCCTCCTCGTCCTCTTGAGGGGCATCCAGTTCCATGGTTGACTTAGTAGAGTCTGATTGCTGGACGGTCTCTTCGCCGTCTGAACTCTCGGATTCCTCCAAGATCTCATCTTCGGGCATGCTAGGTACGGCCGACTGGTCATAAGGGACATCCTCAGCCAGAGCTTCGGCTGAGCCGTCTGACTGATATATTCGGGGTCTACAGCCGTCCATCTCGTCCGAGCCATTCTATCCTGCACATGAACAGAGACAGTCGGATTTGCAGAAGAGTAAGGGTGGTCCAAACACCCCCAGACGGCATCCCCAGTCCTAGACTCAGCCGTGTCCGGTGACCGACTGACAACTGTCCTAGGCCGTGCCGTGTGTGTGTTGGGTGAGTCCATTATTGGTTAACAAGCTATAGAAACGGAAAAAGCGCAACAAAGTTGCAAGGGGCAGAGACGGTACCTTGAAGTTGTATGAACTCTGCAGACGGTTGACTTCTTGAAGTTAGCAGCCGAAAATCCTCTTGGTTGCTTGATGATACCCCAGACGGTAGCCCGGATGTACCCTCTTCAAAGAGCAACTGAATTGTTGAAGCAACCCACCGTTTCTCTGAAATGTATTAAAAGCTAGAGAAAATAAAAAGGGTGCTTAGGCGGTTTGAAGAAAGTGGCTTAAAGATGCCCCAGACGGTTATGACCGGCTGTGGGTATATTGAGAGCAAAGGGAAGAAATTTGATAGTTTTGAGCAAAGAACCCTCAAACGGAAGCCGGATGACCGAAGAAAGAGAAAGTGGTTGTGAATGCAATAGCAGCCGGTATCAGAGCGTTCTCTCAGAATTCTTTCAAAAACTAAAAATTTGCAAATTGTGAAAATGAGAGGAGGGGGGTCTCTACTTATAGAGAACCCCAGAAGGCGAACCGTCACTTCTCATTCAAATTTGAAATTCGAATTTAAAAAAAAAAAAAAAAAGAGAGGGAAGGAGACGAACCGTCACCTTCCCAGAATGTGACACCTGTCACAGGTGCCACGTGGCAAGCCATGTCAAACCTGTGAGGGGCAAATGTTTAGGGTAAAAATACCCTGTCCACGTGGCCCAATGGCATGCTGACACGTATCAGCCTCAGGAGGCCCAATGGGATCCAATCCTCTGCCGACACGTGGCACCTTAACCCTAAAAGGGGAACTGATCCCCTTACACTATAAATAGAGGAAAATCCTCATTTATTACATATTCATAAAAACAAACACAAAATTGAGCAATATTAGTTGCAGAATTCTCTCTGAATCAGAGAGAAAAACCTTTACATTCCGCGCTTTAATACATTCGGAAACGTTCTAACTTGATCGTCGGAGGCGGAACTCCACCCAACCAGAGTTTCCGTGGTTTTGCAGGTACAGACGGTCGACGCGCATTTTTGGAATTGTAATTCTCCCGAGGGACTCCAAAAACCCCGAAACAGTACCCAATACTAAATTTTTTTGCTTGCTACTAATCATGCACCAAACTGTAACTCCACTTCCTCTAATGAGGCTTTTTCCTAGGAGTGGAAAACAGATTAAGGTGGGCGTGGGTTAATGTTTGGAAAGCATTTGGGTGATGAGATATTTGGTTTGGTTCGGTTTAGTTGGGTTGAGGTTGGGTTATTATTGACTCTGTTGTTAATTAACATGCTGATAATTCTTTAGGTATAAGTGATACTGTTTTAGGAGTTGATTAGTTAGAGGCTGATTAGAATGACGTCATGTCACTTCGGGTTTAGATCGGGCATTCCATATCTGGTAATTTGGTATGGGCTGGTTTTTAATGTTTACTCTGGGATGGTAGTTGTTTGAGGAAGGGAAGGAAGGAGAGGTGGTTGTAAGGGAATTTAGACTTTAGATTAAACTGTTGTACTCGTACATTTGTGAATAGGTTACTTTACTCCTTAATCTGATTGGAACTTAGTTGCTCAGTGCGTATGTTGGATCTAAGTCATCTAACTGCTCATAATGGTTTACGCTTGTGATTTGATCTAATAAGCGTGGTTACAACTTAAGCTGACTCAAGTCTTTGTCTATATAAAGGAGCAGATATTGTAAGGTAATTTAGACTTTAGATTAAACTGTTGTACTCTTACATTAGTGAAGAGGCTATTTTGCCTTACTCCTTAATCTGATTGGAACTTTAGTTGTTACAGTGCTTATGTTGGATCTAAGTCCTCTAACTGCTCATAATGGTTTACAATAATTTAATTAATCTAAAAGGTGTTATTACAACTTAAGACGACTCAGGTCTCTGTCTATAAAAAAGAGCAGAGAATTATGATGGATCTAATTTGCATCTCTGGATGTTGAATAATTTTCTGAATGCAGATTGGAAAAAAGATTGGATAAACTTAAAAAAAGCAAGGCAAAAGATTCACAAACGAAAGCAAAGGTAATTAAAATTATTATTACATAATTATCAAGCTGTACAATTACTTTTTTGTTTAATATAGAAGCTGATCGAATATTCGCTCCAATTTTTGGTACATTCAGGAGGAAGCAGAAAGATCTGCACTGGAAAAGATTCAACAGGTGCTTATGGATGGAAAACCAGCACGATCAGTTACCTTATCAGATCCTGAAAAGGATGCTATAAGGCACCTTTGTTTGCTTACGATGAAACCGGTAATTTATGTTGCAAATGTAGCAGAGTCTGAAGTGGCTGATCCTGAAAAGAATCCTTTTGTCCAAGAAGTAGCAAAACTTGCATCGGACTTGCAATCAGGAGTGGTGACTGTCTCAGCACAGGTTTAGTAAACCAGTAAAAAAGCACCTTTAATTTGATCTATCTGCATGGATTATGTAGATATTATATTGATGATAGATCTTGAACTTTGTTAAGCCTGAGTTGGTACATGTACTTTTGATTCATTATATATCACCAAAACAAATAATTTCACTAGATTAAGGTGTTGTTTCATAACTTTCTCTCTCCCAACTCCATAATTTAACTATCTAATTTACAATCTATTGTTGGCATAAAGTTTACAAAGTAAGGCCCTTTTGTAAGAGGGATCTCAGTCAAATGTACCTCTCTTATAGTAATGTGTTATTTTAGTTTATTTTGGATATAATGCACATGTTTCTTTTTACTTGGTATTTTACAATCTTTGGTTAATTATAAGTTTTAAGGTGGAAAACTGGAAATGGACCCATCACCCATATGCCATGTGATGCAAAGATATTAAGTGGGGTCCCTTGAACCCACTTGAATATTAAAAAAAAATTCTTATCAAATTAAATTTTTTTCTTATAAAAATTGCTTATATTTTTAATCAAACGACCCCATAAAAATTTATCAAATGTATTTTGACCCCGTTAAATATTTTTTTTGGATCCGCCACTACCATGTGATTATTTGGTTGGAAATTACAGGGTACATCACACTCATAATCCTTTGAAATTCTGCAATTCTGATATGAACTAACATGGGATATATTTGTAGGTTGAGGCAGAACTTACTGAACTTCCATCTGAGGATAGAGTAGAATACTTAAAATCTCTTGGAGTCAGTGAAAGTGGTCTAGGAAATCTTATTAGAGCAACATATAGCCTTTTGGGTTTGCGAACATATTTTACTTCTGGAGAGAAGGTAATGCAGATTATTTTGGTTTCTATAATGTTTTTGGGTTCCAGATATTTTCCAATAAGCTCAATAATCATTCTTCTTTTATGTAGGAAACAAAAGCATGGACAATTCTTTCAGGTAAGATTTTTGGTTCTTTCAAAATCATAAACCAGGGGAAGTTCATTTCATTACCCCTTCTTTTCAAAAAGTTTGAAATAACTCATCTGAATATTGTTTGGATAATTATACCCTCTAAAATGTTTATTTACTTATTTGCCCTCATTAATGTTAAATGCCTCTTTTTTTTAACTCTAAAGAATAGTATATTTCCCTTCATCTGCCAACAACTAAATTTGTGACACAAGGCAAAACCAAAAGAGCTCCTTGGACATGGCTAGCCATGGCGTGCACATCGCGTGCGTTAGCCGCCCTAGTTAACTAGAAAAGTTTATGTTTTCAAAACCCAAACATACATCTGTTTAAAAGCCGTTCTATGAAGTTCTACCCTTTTGGAAGCTTCTGTTTTGGTAAACTTTATATGCCATTTTATGTACGTTTAGCCTGCACATTCTCTTTTCCTTAATAATCCCTCTGATCGTTTTTTGTTCTTCTCACTTTTCATTTTACTTAGTTCTTTTTTGTTCAACTCACTTTGCTCTATTCTATTTGGTTTACCTCTTTCACCATCTTAAACATATAACCCCACAATAATTACATCTACCTACACACTATCTCTTACTTAATTTCCGTTTTTCTTACATAATTTTTACATTTTCTCTCTTACTCTATCCTACTTTATCTTACACCCCCTCACATTCTTCACTACTTTCTTAAATTTTGTATCTATTGAGTAGAACATAAAAGAATGGAAGAAGTATACTGCCACAAATCCTTATATATTGTGCCATTTGTAGAGGTTTTAACTGTATTAACACATTCTTTTTCACCCACATATTGTGGTGTATATGTAAGGAAAAATGTAGTCATGTAGAGTAGAGATGGCAATTTATTATGCATCTGGTCCGAATCGAAGAAAAAAGTCCCATTCGAGTCCAATAATAAAATGCATGAATCTGAGTCTAACAAAAAGTGTCTGAATCTGATGGAAGGCGGATCGGAGTTACTTCCTTTGTAGAGTCCGACCAAGTCTGATTTATTAACACTTTGTTTTGATAGAAGAAAATGGAAGGAAAAGAAGAGAAGGGAAAGTAAGGAGGACAAATCTTTCTTGTTTGGGCAAAGAATTTGGGGAAGGAAAGGGAAGGAGAGGGAGGGATCTATTTTCCCTCTCCCTTTAATAAGCATAATTCCTTCATAATTGGAGAGATTTGGAGGGAAAATGAAGCTCACCTTTTTCTTCCCTTTCTTTTCTCTCCCCTTTCTCCTCCTCTATCCCTCTCCAAACAAATCGTAAATGACTAGCTCTATATATAACCTTTATAATTTGCACTCATACACAATTAAATATATATTCATGTTCAAAGATATGAATTGGAGACTGAAAATCTACGTAAAAAGATAAAATTAAAGGACAAAATAAAGTTGAAACTTAAGGGACCACAAAAAAATTTATAATAGATGAACTTATCAGCATCAACAAATAAATTAATAGTTTGCTCGAATAAGAGAGAAAACTGAGAATGATACCATCACATATTTTTACTCTGTATTTTTTTTTTTGTAGTAAAAAGAACTCATGTTGCTTCAAGAACTTTAGATATTCTAACTTCTTAATTACCTCAAGCTAAAAATCGAAAATTAATTGAAACAATTTGCTCCAAAACAATAGAGAAGAAAAATTTAGAAATATAGACACCATAAAGCAAATTTACTCTGCTTAACAACATTTTGGTGTCTGTTAAGAACATTAGGCATCACGCCAGGTTCCAGTACAGCCCAAAATTATTAATTGGAATTGATATGGAAATTAGTTTACTTATAGTTGAATACAAGAACCATAAAGGCTTTCCGTGAAATCTATCTTCATAGTTTGATATGTACATTTTTTCACTTGGCGTCAACATCAGCTAACATGTTTTGAGCCTTATGAAGGTCATGGTGGCGATTTATTGATGGGTGTTTCAAAAGGAATCCTTAAGCGGATGCTATAACTATTAGTATTTCTACATTTTTCCTGCAAAAATCAAATACAAAACCCTTGGAATTCTGATTCTAAATTGCATCAATTGGCTCCAACATGAATATGTCCTATGGGGGAAGCAATTATTCCCCAAAGTCTGTGGATGATCCTCAGACACAATGCTCTAGTCATCATTGCTTCTAGCGGAAATGCCTTTCGTATTTATACAACTAAAGTAGACAACTAATACGGTTGTTAGTAGGAGGTCAGATGTAATGGGTAAGTCAAAGCAACAATTTCGCCTAGAATTAGGAGCTAGGCTTGTGTAGCGAAGCTTAATATAATATATGTGCCATTTTGCAAGTCATGGGCTGGGTTGTGCTGTTGACAAATACTAGGCCTAGGGTTGGCCTGTAGTCTAGTCAGGAGTGTACTATTTTTATAATTGGGGTATCCATGGTGTAGTACCGTTGTATATATTTTTTGTTGGCAAAATTAAGAAAAAACAATTGTTTTCATTAACCACTACTGTCTGTTGAGTTGAATTGTTAATCTATTAGAGATTTTTTTTTTCTTTCATAAACAATACCGGTTTTTAAAAGCCCCTTAAAAGTGTTTGCAGAAAGAGAAAGTCTCTATTGACAAGTCTACATAACATCCTTTGTTGTCTTCTACTGTACTTCCAATCTTTTGTGTCAAGGTCTATTCCACATCCTATAATTTCATCTTTTTATTCTTCAGGTTGCATATGAAGATTTTGTTGCTGCCGGTTCGCTTGCGGCTGCAAGGGAGAAAGGACTGGTTAGTACATTAACTTAATGCTTCTTTACATGAATCATTTTTCATAACTAACATGTGAAATACTTGCAATCAAATATACTGAATACCTTCTTTCAAAAAAAAAAAAAAAAATTACTGAATACCAATAAAATGGTGGTTAATATTTTGCACATCAAAAATGTTATTCAGTTTGAAGAACTACGCACAGACTGCTAGTGATGTAATTTTTCTATAAATTATACGAACTGATTTAGACAAAAAGTATACTGCCTGCTTTCCTTGACATTATGAGTCTTAATGTTTCACTAAAGCTCTCATTCTCTCATGATATTTCCTTGGCCTATTCCCCTGTATGGCATCAACTACTGAATAAAGCACATATATTATTTCCCTTGATGCTTTCATACAAGCTCCTTTGATTTATGAAACTGACATTATCTTTTCTCCTTATCAATCGTCAGAAGCTCCAATGGTAGTTCTTGTGCCAGTAAACCTTAAATTTCAATTATTTCTTAGTGAAGTAGTTGCATAGCAAATTCTTGTAGCGTAAACTCCATTAACGCATTTGCTGACTTTGAAGTCTTCTCTGTCCATCCTTCCCCTTCTTCGAGCCCTCAGCTTACCCCTTCTCCCAAGGTAGTACTGATACACATGAGCTCAAGCAAACATACCCACACACATTTGTATATTTGCATTGTATCAAAACACAATTTCAAGGGCAGTCAATAATCCTAGTTGAGGCCCTTTATCCTTAGTTTTGGCAGTGTTGGTACTCTTATTGTAAGTTAATTAATTACCTTAGATCCAATTTGAACGTGTTGGGCTCCCATCTTTACTTTCATGTATTGAGGTCTGTTCTATCCCATAGCATTTGAGTCAATTCCATATGTAATGGAAATTATAAATCAACCCAACTTTATTAGAATTCATAGGTCATACTATACCACAACTACAGTGATGTGCTACAATTACACATCCTGTTCAACTCTCATAGTTTTTTTGGTCCAGTTTTTCGGGTCAAGTACTTGAAAGTGAGGGGAATGGGTAAGAGATCCTCACTCTCAAGTACCGCAGTTCGAAGGATTCGACCTTGTTACCTCAAAGTTACAAGGTGAATTCTTCACCAACTAAACCAAGCCTTGCTTGGTAATTGATCTTAATCTAGTGATTAAATAGTTTTCTCCGTCAACATGGTGAAATTGGATTTTATTATCAAATCCTTGATGGTGAGAGATGTTACTCATTGGTTTATTGCTTTCATGTATTGCAGTTGAGATCTGAAGGGAAGGAATATGTTGTACAAGAAGGAGATGTCATGTTGTTTCGCTTCAATGTTTGATCACATTATCGCCGGAGCAGATGGATTTGTTACCTGTCAGTTACAGCAGAAAAACGATGTTGCTGACAAGTTGTACAAGCACATCACTACATTCTTGAACTGTGGGAGCCTGACCTCAAAAGTGAGGTAGATTCATTGAGTAGTCACCAAATTTTGTCAAAGAAGCAATTAATTCGTACATTCATTATATACTTATTTCAGTTATTCAATGTATAAAGGCCAGAGATAATTGAATTATCGATCAAAGGAAGATAGAATAATAAAGAATAGATGCTACTAATTTTATATATCGCATTGCATGCTGAAAGATAGTCTATAAACAAAAGCAGCATTTTTTAAAAAATAAAAAATAAAAGGCTTAAAACTATATAAGAATTCAGAATTTAGCCCATAGTTCTCGTTCATGAGTCGATGATTTAGTTGGAATAGTGTTCTACTCCCTTTGATCCCTTGTGTTCTTTGCATTTTCCAATTAAACAAATGAAAGTCAAATGCATTAAACAAAGCTAATTGAATCAAATGAAAGTCAAATACATTCAAACAAAACTTTTTGAATCAAATGAAAGTCAAATACAGTCAACAAAGCTAATTGAATCAAATGAAAGTCAAAACACACTTAAACAAAGCTTTTTGAATTAAATGAAAGTCAAATGCAGTCAACAAAGCTAATTGAATTAAATGAAAGTCAAACGCATTCAAACAAAGCTTTTTGAATCAAATAAGAGTCAAAATTGCTTTAAAAAAAATTATGGTTTCAAAGAAAAAAAGTTTTAAAAAAAATTCTAATTTGGAATATTTTTAATGTAGGCCCTTTTTGGTTGGGAGGAATTAGGAAGAACGGAAAAGAAATGAAAGGAAAGGAAAAATATAGATTCCTATGTCTGGATTTAAAAATTAAACGGGACTTGATAAGAAATGAAGGGAAATGGAAAAAAAAGCTCCCTTCACAAAATCTTCCCTTTCTTTTTATCCCAACATTGGAGGCATTTGATAGGAAATAAAGAAATTAAATCTATTAAACTTAAAATTAGTTTTCCCTTCCCTTTCCTTCCTTTACTAATATCATACCAAACGATAGATTTCTCTAAATCCCCTTCTTTTACTAATATCAAACCAAATATTAGATGATATAGTTTCTTTCTTTTCCCTACCCTTCCTTTCCTTTATTTCCTTTACTCATATAGTTAAAAAAAAATCGTTAATTTTCTTTTATATATATGGTGAATGAGCTAATATTTGTTACATTTTTCACATTTTCTTATAATTTTCAAACAATCATGAATATGTTATACTATAAGGTCTTGTTCACTTCACCTTGAAAAATAATATTCAGTAAAATTAATTTATGCCCAGTAAAAATAATTTCAGTTTAGCAAAAATAATTTCAGTTTAGTAAAAATTAGTTCAGTTTAGTAAAAATAATTTCACTTCAGTAAAAATCAGTAACTTTATAGAAGAAATACAACAGAAAATCAGTAAACTAATTTCACTTCAGCAAAAATAATTTCAATTCTGTAAAATTAATTTCAGTTCAGCAAAAATAATTTCAGTTCAGCAAAAAAAAAATTTAGTTCAACAAAAATAATTCAGCAAAAACAATTTTAGTTCAGCAAAAATAATTTCAGTTCAGTAAAAAAATTTCAATTTAGCAAAAATAAGGTGAAGTGAACAGGGCCTAAGACAAGTGGATTAATGTGGAGCGGCTTTTCCTGTCTTATTTATGTAATATTATCTCTAAAAAAATACTTGACCTATTTTATTGCATTTTGTTTAGTTTCTATTATATAAATTATATTGATTTCAAAATCATTACTTTGATTGATTCTAAATAATGGAATACATTTCCAATATGATAATTTTGGTGAATATATTATATTATAAGACAAACAGATTAATGTGGAGCTAACAAGTGTAACTCTATGATTCACTTATCTTATTTTTGTAATGTTATCTCTAAAAAAATACGTGACATATTTTATTGCATAATTTTTATTAGTTTATTTTTATAATGATATCTCTAAAAAAACGATGTGAGTAAATTTTTAGACTATAAATAATGCAAATTTAATAAATATATTTAATATTTTTTAAAAAATAAAGTGTATCACCGATAACTCTCTATAGATATACAATCATACAAATGTCTTGTGTGCTAAAACTAACATGACATCATGATCGACCTCTCCAACAAGTGAAAATGGATACTAATTTGCACAGTTCAATAACTTAGCAATTTTACTTTTGAACAAAAATTTAGAGTGCAACTATATTTAAGATATTATTATTCATTGAATAATACTTTTATAGCTCTAAAAAAAAGTTTTCATAATACTTCTATGTTGTACTTCGTGTCTGATTCCAATGGGTCTTTGGTGGAACTCATGGAATTGAAGTATAAACTCTAAAAAAATAAGATAATGAAGAAAAAAAATTGTCTCTTGAATAAACAATTAGATAAGAGAAGGTTACTTTACAAAAATAATAATAAATAAATAAATGAAAACTAGAAAAGGTAATTTAAAATGTAATTTAAAATGTAAAAATAAGGTAACGGGTCTCAAACCCACGACCTACATAAGATTGGAACAGATCTACATACGTATAAATCATTAAACCATCTAGCCAAACGCAATATTATGGTTATTATGTACGAGTATTTATTATACATAACACTTAAATATAAAAGCTGAAAGAAGTTGGGCTCTTTCTGGCCCTGAACCCTGGCAGGCGCCAGAAACTATATAATATTTCTATTATAATGCAATTATAATAATGGTACATTATAAACTATATATATTAGAGATACAAAAATTAAAGGATCTAAGTATGAGAATTTATAAGTAAAGGAAAAATACAATAATAGAGATAAAATGATTAGGCATAGCCTCCAAGTCAATCTTATAGGAATTTGTCCAACAAGAGCCTAAGTGACTAGAAATACTACATGAAGCTCTTATAAAATAGTTTATTGAGTCCTTTTCTCCCCTTATATCTACTATGTTAACAAATTTCATAGTCTAGGAGGTGGAAGTAACCATTTAGGAGCTTCAATGTAATCCAAGCTGATGAATGTTTTGGCCTCTACATCCGTCAATTTTTTAGTATATGGAACTCTTTTTGCAAGAGATGCACCAGGTCCTTTATTATTGTACTCTCCAAAAAATACAGTCCTACATACCCATATTAAATGATTAGAAATCTCAATAAAATCATAATATCATTAGATGGATAATCTAACATCAACATTTTCAAGAAATAAATTTGGTATCATATATAGAATGAAATTGATTATTTATGACAAAGTTACTTCGTCTTTATGTTGTAAATAAGGATGTAATAGATTAATCACTATTGACAACTAGTGTACCAAATGTAGCACATGTATCTTTGAGTTGATCAATCGTGGTTAACATTTTTTTTTGTAATTAATTAAACTTTTACATTGATGAAAATAAAGCAGCTAAGTAATAGACAACACGCAATTTATTTATTTATTTAATTTTTTTTTTTCATGAAAGCACACTACATGCATGTGATTGTATGTTTTTTTATTCAAACCTTTAATTTTTTTTTCATTTATTTCAATATGAATGCTTAGCAATTCATGTACGTTGTATATGATGTAGCTAAAAATGTTGAATGCAAAATAAATATAGAATTCTAAAAGTGGATTTTTTCCCAAATTGAGCTTTATACGGAAATTATTTACGAAATTGGTCTCGTGGCAAAAGTATTTCCCAAACTAAGCTTGTGAGGTGAAACGCTGTCTCGGACAGCGTTTTACACTCAGTTTTTTTAAAAAAAAATTCAAGACATAAAACGCTGCCTGAGACAGCGTTTTATGGTAGTTTGACTTTTTTCTCAAACTTTGTATTTCATACCTGTTTTATACAAATAAACGCTGCCTGAGGCAGTGTTTATATCTTTAAATGAAACGCTGCCTCAGGCAGCGTTTATTGTACAAGCATAAAACGCAGCCTGAGGCAGCGTTTTTATCTGTACATTAAACGCTGTCTGAGGCAGCGTTTCTTGCGGGAATTATAACGAATTCCAGGCCTTTTTTTCTCAATCTCTTTCACGCAACTTACACTCTCTGTCTCTCTCACTAACTCTCACTGTCACCAACAAAGAACCACTGCCGTTGCCAACGCCTCCCTTGCCGTGCCGCCGCTGCTGCCGCCCCTGCCTCCGCCAAAGTGAACGGAAGTTGTTGCCGACATTGTCTCACTCACTCTTTAAATCCGGGTAAACCCTAAATTCGTAGTACATTGTTGAATTTTATATTGAATAGTTGGTAGTAGATAGTTGTTGTATGTTGTAGCAAATTGTGATGTAAATTGTATTAATTTGTTGCTAATTAGTAATGAAATGTGATAAATTGTTGATAATTATTAATGATAATGTGGTACATTGTTGAGGAAAAATATAGACGAAATTGTTGATTAAATTGTCGACGAAATTGTTGATGAAATTGTCAATGATAATGTGGTTTGTTTTTGATGAAATTCTTGATGGTAATGTGGTCTATTATTGTGAAAAAAATGATAAAATTGTTGATGGTAATTCGGTATTAGTATGTTGATAGTTGTATGCGGTACTAAGAGTTAATGAAATTGGTGATGAAAATGTTGATAATGAGAATGGACTTGTTTCATTATTGTCATATTAGCTACACATGTAGGTTCTCGAAATTTGATATAACTTTCCATTATCAAAGCTATGTATGTTATGTATTGTTAAATTAGGGTTTTTTGACGTTGTTTTAGAATTCGATTATCCTTAAATGTGTTTTGGTTGGTATGTAAAATATGGCTTCACAAAATGTAGTGTTGTTATGCCGGTGGGGAGGTGAAATTATGTGCGATGGATCAAATGTTGAGTACAGTGAAGGGAATATGGAACTTATAACACTTGAACCGAACATGACTGTGAATGATCTGATGAATGAGGTTCACAGTAGTATCGGCTCAAACCCAATGAATGCTGAACTGAACCTTAAAATGAGGTGTGAGACTGGGCATGGGGTTCAAGTGTTACCTGTCTCCACAAACAAACATTTAAAAGCTTTGAGAAGCATTGTTACAATGAAGGGTGTTCCCAATGAGATATATGTAGATACAGTGCCTATATGTACCCAACAAAGTACTTGGGCAGAACAACATCCTACATATGTCTCTGATTACAACACCGCGTCCTTCCAAGGCCCTTCAAACCACATTCCATCGAATGAATATGGGATGGGAACTTTCAGTCGCTTGCTGCATGATGATCAATTTCAGATGTCGTTTAGTCCTCATATAGCATCACCTGCACATGCGGGGGGCTGTGTGACAATGTTCGGCCAATCCGGTCCTTCGACATCAAACACCGTGGCTCCGTCACCGATGCGAGATGAGGTTCAAGAATCACCGTCTCAAGAAGACCCAAGTCATTTTGATAATATTGTGAATAACGAATTGTCGGTGTACGATGTGTATGCGGATACAGATGATGAGGATGATAATGGGGAGGAGTATGATGGGCTTGATGACATGGATCTTGAAGATGGGCATATGGAAATTAATGAGCCCTTGGTTAGAACTGCAGTACCCTAGTTTAGTCAGATAAATGAGAATTATGAAGTTGATGAGTATTGGGCCAATTCAGGGAGTCATACATCATTTGTTCCAGGGGGAGAATTCGAGAAGGGGATGTACTTTGACAGTAAGAAAACGCTTCAAGAAATGGTGAAGATGTATTTTATACAGAGAAATCAATTCTACACCACAGTGACCTCAAATGAGAGTGTCCTTCATCTGCGTTGCAAGAAGAAATGTGGATGGTCTCTAAGGGGTACCAGGACAAGTGAGCACTCGCGTGGCTTCACCATAGTCACATACAAAGGCCCGCATCGGGAGAACTGTGTTACCGAATTACTATCTAATGATCACCCACACTTGGATTCGTCCATAATATCTGAGTTTGTGAAGTCCTTTATGCAGAAAGATCCGACTTTAAAAGTTGAATTCATTCAGGAACTCATCTCCAAGCAATTCCATTTTGAAGTTCCGTATAAAAGAGCATGGTATGCCAAGGACAAAGCCATCACTCAAATTTTTGGGGATTGGGAGAGTTCTTACAGCAGACTTCCTCAGTTCATGCAAGCACTGCAACAGTCAAACCAGGGAACCGTAGTCATATGGAAACACAAAGCTCTAGTGGAGGGTAGGTATACCAGCAACATGGAAGTATTTGAACGAGTGTTTTGGGCATTTGGTCCTTGTATCGATGGTTTCAAACATTGTATGCCTGTTATCTGTATCGTTGGGACGCACTTGTATGGGAAGTATAAAGGAACACTTTTGGTTGCTACAGGTGTGGATGGAAACTTCCAAGTATTTCCACTAGCATTTGCGTTGGTTGAGGGGGGAAACATTTCCAGCTGGTCTTGGTTTATGAGCTGTCTTCGGGATAGAGTTACGCAACGAGATGGCTTATGTGTTATATCTGATCGACATGCAGGGATTATTGCAGCAATGAATGATCCTAACATTGGATTCACTCAACCCCGAGCCTATCACAGGTTTTGTGTTCGTCACTTGGCTTCAAACTTGAAATCTCACGTGCGAAGCACCATCACGAGAGATACATTCAAGGCTGCTGCGTACCAAAGACAAGAAAGAAAACTGCAAGCTGACTTGTTTTCGATTGGTCAAGCATGTACGAAATCGTTACAGTATATTGCCCAAGTGTCGTTTCCTACGTGGTCTTTGTTTCACGACGGTGGTCGCAGACATGGGATATGTACAACAAACTTCTCTGAGACATTTAACAATGTTTTGAAAGGTGCTCGGTTCATGCCAGTTATGTCCCTTGTTGAGTTAACTTTCCACAGAGTTAACAGGTACTTCACCTTAAGAAGAGAATCTGCTGAGACCAGGGCCAAACAGGGACCCCCAAAGGTCACTGCTATTTTGGAAAAGAACACAGCAAAAGCAAGATACCACAAGGTGGATGCCTATAACCGTCGGCTGCACATTTACCAAGTGACGACACATAGGGGGGAGCGAGTTGGTAGAAAGGGAGGCCATAGACACACTGTTAACTTCCAGTTGAGAACCTGTACATGCAACAAACCCCTGATATTCCACCTTCCATGCTCTCATGTTCTAGCAGTGTGTGCGACTTATTCACTGTCCGAGAGGCCGTGGGTGGACCCTTTCCTGCAATCGGATGCATATATGAACACGTATGCACCACAGTTCTGGCCTATTCCATGTGAGACCACTTGGACGCAGTACACAGGACCTAGACTCATCCCGGACGCCAGCATGGTAAGAGGAAAAGGTCGGCCAAAGTCAAAGCGCATACGCAATGAAATGGATGACACTAACCGACCTAGGACTAAATGCAGCCGCTGTCACCAACAAGGTCACAATCGCAAAACGTGCCCAGCTAGATCAACCGAAACATAAGCTTGTATTTGTTTAGCTATAGTAGTAGAACAGTAGATTCATGTAGTAGTTGATTAATGACGTTATGTAACATTTGTAACGCTTGGATTATATTTGAGATTTGGTGACTTATATTTCGACTTTGTCTTTTACCTGTGACAGTCATGTCAATTTCATTGACTAGTAATTCTGTTTTTTAATTGGTTTGGCCATATTGTTTTGAATGAACAGATATCATGGTCGGACACGATCGGATACCAGGACCACTTGACCCATCTGTCCTTACACTGTAGGATAGACATCGGAGTGTTGACATATGGGAGCAGACGGTAATTTCTCACGTGCCATTTCATGTACAAATTTGTCTTATTTTTTTGTATACTTGACCCTTATTTACAGTTTTGAAATGAATTACCAGGTGGACATAGCGGAAATGTTGGGGTGCAGGCACTTGAGGTCCGGCTGGGCAGTCGATCCACGCGTTCTTCAGTACGTCGACTGGGTTGGCTTTGGTGGTATTCATCGCGTGGGCTACAGAGAAATAGATCGAGGGCTTATCACAGCATTAGTTGAGAGATGGAGGCAGGAGACACACTCCTTCCATCTTCTTGTGGGGGAGGCGACAGTCACGCTACGGGACGTCGCGATACTCACACGCCTTCCCATCCATGGGAATGCGGTGACAGGGGGTGTGGTACTTGACCCCGCAGGTTTAGTAGGTCGGGTTTTAGGGGTTCAGCCAGAGCCAAACGAGATCAGGGGCAGCGCGCTGAGGACCGGTTGGCTACGCGACACTTTTGGATATTTACCTCAGGATGCTGACGACGCCACAGTGCAGAGATACGCCCGAGCTTACTTGTTCCTGCTCATCTTGGGCGTGCTCTTTGGAAACAAGAGCGGAAGCCATCTTCAGATTATTTACCTGCAGCTGTTAAACCACGACTGGGATGAGATCCGTGGATACAGTTGGGGTAGTGCTTGTTTGGCGGTCTTGTATCGCCATCTGTGTAGAGCATCACAGCGTGGAGCACAGCTGATTGGAGGTCCTTTGGTTGTGCTACAGGTAAACCTCATCATTATCCTTAAGCCTAGTTTGATAATGACTTGACGTTATTTATGCTTTACCTTTTATTTGATTTTTAAAACAGCTATGGGCTTGGGAGCACATCCATGTAGGGAGACCAGGTAGGCCTGTTGTACACTGTCCAGGGCAGCTGGACCAGGACGATCAGTATGCAGCATACGATGCTCCCCCGCTCCCTGAACTCGATCAGGCATACGGTTGTAGGTTCGTAACATTACACTTGTGTACGATCATGACCCCTACTCCTTCCATTCACAGTTCGACTTCGGACAGAGTAGTGGTGGAGGTCATACTTCGGGCTCTACACAGGCAGGATTACTTCATCCATAACACCGCTCCCGGCCACAGCCAGGATGACTCATCGCCTCGCCAGTTGACTCCTCCACCGTCCCGAGACCCATTCACCACCATTCAGCATTACACGAGGCGTCCGAGGCGTGTTCGTAGACGGACGGAGGACACACAGGATGGAGATCAGTTAACTCCAATACATGAGTCCGGATAGTATTAGTTAGTTGATCCTTTTTTGGTACTCAGATATTTAACAATGTTGTATATAACGCTTACATTATTAATACAAGAAATGTTTTCTAAATGACTCTCTGTACAATTTGAAGTTTATTTCCCTTATTTGTCCGAATTTGACTTTTGTTAGTGAAACTATATCTTTTATCTCCGTTATATGTATTAAGCAGCATATATTTGGTCTCCCGCACTTAAAGTGCCGTTTCACGATGGTTATCATGCTGTTGGGGTTGTTTCCAGTGTTTGATGGTTGTCGGTGGTGGTCGATGGTGGTGAAAAGGTTGGGACTGGTGGTGGGAATGCTCTTGCGTTGTTTAGGGTGTTTTATGGTAGTTTATGGGTGGTTGAGAGTGGCGGCCGGTGGTGGTGGGGGAGGTGGTTGATGGTGGTGGGGGTGGTTGTTAATGATGGGGGTGGTGGGAATGTCCTTGCATTGTTTAGGGTGTTTTGCATTGCATAGGGGTGGTCGAGAGTGGCGGCCGGTGGTGGTGGTGGAGGTGGTTGATGGTGGTGGGGGAGGTGGTTGATGGTGGTGGGGGTGGTGGTTGATAGTGGGGCTGAGGCTGATGCTGTTGGGTGAGGGTGATGTGTAGGGGCAGCAGCAGATTGCAGAAACTGCTGGTGATGCAGTCTAGCAGATGCTGCTAGTGATGCAGTCCAGCAGAAAAACGCTGCCCCAGGCAGCGTTTTATGCTTTAACGTAAAACGCTGACTGAGGCAGCGTTTTAAACCCCATATACATATTCCAGTATAATTTGGCAAAATATACTAGTATATTTTGCCAAAATACATACCAACAGGTCAACAAGGTAAAACGCTGTCTGAGACAGCGTTTTACTTCTTGAATTTTTTTTTTAAAAAAATTGGGAGTAAAACGCTGTCCGAGACAGCGTTTCACCCCAGAAGCTTAGTTTGGGAAATACTTTTGCCACGAGACCAATTTGGTAAATAATTTACCAATAAAGCTCAATTTGGGAAAAAATCCTCTAAAAGTTTATGTAACTATGATATAAGTGTAGAAGAATTACACAATGTTAGATCTTCCTTTTCCAAAAAAAAAAAAGAAAAAAAAAAAGAAAAAAAAAAAAAAAAACCAAACCTACTGATATATGTAAGGTGTTGGTAATATTATCCAATACAAGAATTTTATTTTCTATTTTTATTAAAATAATAGACTCTATATTATTATGAAATGAGAACATAGAACCAATCTAGGTCATAAGGTCACCATAGTCGAATGACTATAATGTTTCATGTGTCATTAATGGTATTTTTGTAATTTTGCAACTTAATAAAACTTTTGTTAGTTTCAATTTTAAAAATTAATTAAATGAAAATCTAGTAAAATTTAATAAAATCAATTAAAAATTAATTCACATCACTTCAAAAGTAAATTATAATTTTTAAAGTTGCAAAATTACAAATATGTCAATATGTCATTAATGACACAAGATACATCTTGGTTGTCTGATTATGATAATCCAATGGCCCAAATTGGTTTCTTGTTCTCATTTTAAATTATATAAGAACCTAAGGATCATATATAGTTTTTGAAATTTAATATACCTATGATTTGATCTCCTTAGCAACAAAAGGGCACTTTAACTTCCCCTATTAATTCAAATAAATGCAATATTGCGTAGTGAATCACAAGATTATATTTTCACATGTTTCATCCATATAGTAAAAGTGATATAAAGGTTATTATGAAAATTATTGATAATGGATAGATTATATAGAAAAGAAATGCTTACTTTTGAAATTCTGGTTTAGAGTTATCAGACCATCCCTCGGGGTTAACGACATCACTGAAGGTGCAATAAGAGTAAACAACTCGTGCTGCTTCCATCCATGCTCTACCTAATAGTGCATGACTACCTGTCCCAGTCACATTGCAATGGACAAAAGAGTATCCACCTTCTCCATCTGCACTATTTCTTGCATGTGCAGTTATGACTGCTGCAGGGTCTTCTGATTGAACATGGATCTCGGTGTTCTGCCAATATGAAACAATAATCATATTTAGTCAACCTACTAATGAGCATAAGAACATTAATTGGTTTCAATTTTTTTTTTTTTAATACTATTGAAGTTTTTTAAAGTGGAAGATATTTTTAGATACCAAGTATAAAGATCTTGCTTCACCAAAGATAAAATCAACGGTTCCCTCAATATAGCAATCCTTGAAGAAATGGTTGCCTTTATCATCACATAGAGTATCTTGGTATCCAACAAATTTACAATTGTAAAATGCTGCTTTATCACCGGATATTCTCATAGCAGCAGCTTGTGCTCCCTTTCTCTTACCATCTGGTCTTGGAGCGGCATTCTTCATTAAAAAATATTTTTGTATAATTAGTTAAGTTTCTTTGAAAAGCATAACCTCATAAATAGATACCATATCAAATATCTTAAATTTAACAATGCTATATCATATCAAGAAAGAGATTTGATCTATCAAGTGTAATTCTTATCTCATAGTTTTGTTATATTATAATATATTAATATTAGCATGTTCTATTTCTTTCCTCATCGATTATGGAAAACCCTTCCACTTATTGGCGCTCCCCTCACATTTCATTGGTTGAATATGTAAAATTGTACTTATAGTTAAAAATATTTGTATGCTGACTAATACTTTGTCTGTTTCATATTATTTAATACATTATTTTTGCGCGTTAACCATGCATATCTTCAAAAATATAATATCATCAATTATGTAAAATGAAAAAAAATAAAAATAAATTAATGTTCAGAATACACACGTTAAGACAAATAAAAAAGACTCCACTTAGCTATAATTTTGTCTGAAAAATAAATCACAAAATGAACTCAAAGTAATTTAAGTGAATGATGACGAAAGTCAAAATATGTCAACAAAAATGAAGCGGAGAAAGTATAAAATTATGAATAATATTGTCTTTTTACCAAATTCTTGATAAAAAAACTGAAAAAAAGTGAAAATTAGATAATACACCCGGGTGCACCATGCTCATGGTGCACCCGGGTAAACAAAAAAAGGCGGAAAGAACATATAGTGTTTGATAAAGAACATACCTATGTTTGACAAAGAACATACCTTTAATATGTTATTTGAGTGTGATCAGTGTGTTCTTTGAGTAAAATTATATGTTCTTTACATTATAACTTATGTTATTTAACATATGTTGATAAACATATTTTTTTTTGGGTCTAATAATACAAAATATGTTCTTTGAATTTGGCGTGTATGTTCTTTAAGGTCGTAGTGACGCCCAAATTCTATTTTTTTTATTATCATGTCATATTTAAATTACTTTTATTATCGCACATTCGTTGAGTTTGATTAGTGTGTTATTTAGGTATTAACTATATGTACTTTACAATATAAATTATGTTCTTTTTAACATTTGGTATTTTGAAATTTGATATTGAAATCTTAAATTATTTTTAATTGAAAATAATGTTAAGAGTAAAAAAAACTAAATTATTATGGGAAGTTGAATTTTTTTTGGAGAGATAGAAAACTATTTTTTGGGGAAATGATATTTTTGGTAAGGATTTTTTAAGAGGTGATCAACATTGGCATGACTCACATCCCGACCCGATCCGGCCCGAAATAGGGTGGGTTTGGGCAAACCTTAAAATGCATTTTTAGTTAAAACTCGATTTGGGTTCGAAAAAAGCCCGAAAACCCGCTACTTTTCTACGGGTTTGAGCACGAGAAATTATGATATGGTCTGGCCCTTCTCGATTATTTATCACTTCTAAATTTTTCCCGTTAATAATGTGTAATTTTTCAGAAAATTTTATCAAGCTTTTATCTCATTCTTTTTATTATATCTTTATGTTCTTTGGTAATGCATGTTTTTGTCAAATACAACCATGTTCTTTGTCAAATACATGTATGTTCTTTATAAAACACAGGATGTTCTTTCCGCCTTTTTTTTATTTATCCGGGTGTATGATGAGCACTGTACACTCGTGTGTATAAACCACAAATTAAAAAAAAGACTTGAATAATAAGTACACTGTAGACTATAATGAGCCATACTCTCTACACATTAAACTACTAATTTATATCCAACCTATATTTCATTTCACAATAATCATTTCAATTTTATCTCTTCTTCCTCGTGATATACATCACATTTTCTTTCTTACCTATTATTCTTCATATTATCTAATGTGCTCGTTACACTATTTTCATTTCAACACTTGAAACACAAATTCTAGTTATCTTTTATAATTCTTCAAATAAGTAGTATTGATATATTTATGCATAACACATATTACACTAGTAATTCATATTGGCGAGAGCAATTCATATTAAGTTGTAGATTAACTTACATGTTAAATTGTTAGTCTTATACTGATAAGGATATTCATGTACCCTTGCTATAATTAATTTTTACTAACTTTTCTTTTATTTACTCAAAGCTTAACTTCCTTCTGTGTATGAAAAAAATTAAAGAATACTAAACTAATAACAAGAGCACAAATTCAGTTACTTTTAACACAAAGAAATGCGATATATTATAACATAATAATTAAAGAGATATAGGACTTTTGTACCGAAATGATTATATTTGTAGCAACAAAGTAATCAGATTCCACAATCAGAGTTGCACTATCCACAGTCCCATATTCTGCAGCTGTACCGGAAAATGTTATAGTTGGCCTATTCTTAGGATCTGTTCCGTAAAAAGTGACATACGATTTAAAGCTATCAACTTTAACTTTTTCCTTATACTCCCCTGGACCAATTGTTATGATTACACGTTTAGTGTTTCCGACTTTTACATGCTTTACAGCATCTGATATCGTCTTAAATTTTCCGCTACCATCTTGTCTTACATCTATGGTTTCAACCCCACCACTTTCGGCTTCTACTACATTAGGATCAAATGTTCCTTTTTGTATGCTGCAAATTAAAATTAAAATTAAAATTAATGATGTAGAAATAACTCAATATTGAAGTACATAAAAGATACATACGTGTATACTAATGATAATAAAATGTAAATAACGATAATCTAAACTTTCAAACATATAGAAAAAATTGTATATAAAAACACTCTTCCTTAACCTATACATATTGTTTAATATGACAAGTTATAATTTTATATCTGTACTATATACATAAATAAACAAACCAATCTGCCACATGTATGTCCTCCTCTCCTTTTAACTTTCATTACAATCCTTTTCTTTTCTTGACCCTTCAATTTTTGTAACCTTCACTTTAACTCAACAAATTGAATTTTCTTAATGTTATTTTCTTTCTCTTACTCTCTCTCCATCTATCAATTTAAATTTAAATGAATTTATCATTTACTCATTGACCCCTTTTCATCTTCTCCTAATCCTTGTCGTAATATAAATATATAATAAAAACTCTTTTAATATCACCTAAAATCCAAAAAAGATAAAATAGAGTGGTAGATAAATATCTCTATAATTACTGCAATGATGAATATGAAAATTGAAAAGGAGAGAAATTAAAGTGCGAAATTAGTAAGACATGAATGACAAGAAAAAGGAAGCGTTTGGTGCAAGAACTTATAAATTAATTTCATTAAACAAAATTGATTGCAGGTTATAAAAAATCGTTTTCAAGATATTAAATGTGCTAGAGAACTTTATTTGTGAAGAGAAATTTCGTAAATTCGTATATTGATGATATAAGAGATTGATCTTCAATTATTTGACACAAAGTATTATTTAACTCTCGTGCAATTAGAGAATTTAATTTAAATAACACGATTATTTGTAATGTTTAATTACATTAAAATCCCAAATTAGTGCAAAAATCTTTTCCACATGAAAAATTGTAGTCACATTATTACATTTAAGAGTATTTGACTTCTCTTTATCTCTCCACATTCCTTTTTTTTTACTCCCTCCGTTCCCGAAACTTCGACCCTTTTGGCCTAATTATAGTCCCAAAATGATCGCCCCATTTGCATTTTAATACCCTTTGATTTGCAATAATATTTGTGCAAAATTAGCTTCCCCATGCAACTTTTGCTTTTTCTATATACTTTTATTACTTTCTCTCTCTACTTTATTGCAATTCCAATGTAAATTTCCCTTTTCAACGTACTTTTCTTAGTTTCCCCATACACTCTTACACTTCCAATTAAGTTTCTTAATACCCGCGAAATCAACCCAAAAGGGTCGAAGTTTCGGGGACGGAGGGAGTATTATTTTTTTTTATTTATTTATTTTTTATTTATATGTCTGTCATTGTAAGGAAAAAAAAATTAATAACATTAATGTACAACTTCTACATGTTGCACTTATAGAAATCTGTGCAAAAATATTGAGAAATATACATGATTGACAAAAGAGATAACTTTCTTTGTTTTATTTCTTGTATTGTCAATATCAAAATGGTTTAAGAAAAAAGAAGAGATGATAAATATACCTAATTCGTTTGACTGATTCTTGAAACCATTTATTAACTTCCGCATCATTTGCTGGAATTAAAGTTTGAGCATTTATCGTTAGAATATTGATAAGAAAAATTGCCAAATCAATACAAAGTTTTCTTCCCATTTTTCTTTTATTTTTCAACACTAAAGGCAATGTGTAAATGATATTTTTTTATATATAAGGCATGGAACGAGAAACAATTAACATAATATTATTGGAACTTAAAATTTGCTTCCCATATAACAATGGCTATAATAAAGGGCTAGATTTAGAATAATATTATACTAAAAATATTAATTTACCTACAATAGAAAGGATACTAATTCCTCTACAAAATAGGAGTAAGTTAGTTTTAAGCTTAATTGGCAAGAATGACATATACCATTGAATGATTGTTTGTTACATAGTTGAAGATTTCCTCATTCATTCTTATCCAAACACATTGTGGTGAATAAATTTTTTTGAAATAATTCTTGTTTTAACAATATTTTTACTTACCTATTTTAAACAACTTCAACTACTCGTATATGTAAAGAGACGGAATAATTCTGCATTTGTTTGACATATACTATAAGAAAGATAATAAATCATTTAAAGCTTGAAATCTAAAAACATATCTCTATTTGTTTATTACTTAATTTACATTTGTGGAGCCATTGTAGTGGTGGTAAATGTTCTACTTTATTAGTCAAGAAGTCTTGGTGTCTATCATTGAAAAATATTTTATTGATGTCTAGCAAGAGATTAACATTTTCCGGTTTTGTGAGAAAAATATATTATTGGCATTTGTTTATGATATATATGATGCCACATATGCCATATTAGGGTGATGTATGGCAAGATTGCATACATTGTCATTGATTTTAATGAAACCAGTTTAACAACTAATCCATGTATCTAATTAAAAACTTGTTATATTTATGACTTAATTTAATATTTGATATCATTTTGTTGCAATGTATAAAAAAATAAGGAAAAATGGAAATAAATAATCTCACCTTTGCGTGGTCTAACAATTACAATCCCACCTTTTGATTATTACAAGACAAACCCACCTTGGTATGCCATGTTCTTCTAATAGACCTTGACTTGTTAGTGACTGATTTTCGTAGGTATATACCACGTGTCAAATTTTAATAGGTTCATTTCATTTTTTTAATAATAAAAAAAAACAAAAAAAAAAAACAAAAATACAAAGAACAAAATTAAGAAAAAAAAAAAAACACCAGCCACCAACCATCCACCAGCCACCATGAAACCCTAACTCTTACCCCAGCCACCACCAAAAATCGGCCAGCCGCCCTCCTTTACCGCCGAAAACGGCCGGCTGGCACCCACTCACTCGATGAGATTCTGTTATCTCTGACGAGAATTCGAAATCATGCCTGAAGCAGTTATTCGAGATGGGGATTGTCGTGGCTAGGGAGGTTGAGTGGGGATTTTTGAGGTGGTTCGGGAGGTTGAGTGGGGATTTTTGAGGTGGTTCGGGAGGTTGGGTGGGGTTTTTCGGGGCTGGAATGGAGGTTTTCGGCGGTCAGAGAGGTTATTTGGCGCCTAGGTGGTGTTTTCAGGGTGGTGGCTATGGTGATTTTGGTGGTTTTGGGGGTGGGATTTCGGTCATGGGGTGATTTTTGGGGTGTCTTTTGGTCGGCGGGTTGGATTATATTAGGGGGTTCTGGTCGGCCGTTTGTGGGGGTTTAGGGCGGCCAGCCGGTTTTTGGTGGGTTTAAGGTAAGGGTTAGGGTTTCACGGTGGCTGTTAGGTGGTGGGTTTTTTTTCTTTTTAATTTTTCTTTTACTTATTTTAATTTTTGTTTTTAACATTTTTTTTTAATTTTAACCAATTATTGAGTGACACGTGGCTTTGTCTTGTAACTTGTTTAACAGGTTTTAGGTAGAAAGGTCTATTAAAAGAAGATGACAAACCAAGGTGGGTTTGTTTTGTAATAATCAAAAGGTGGTGTTTCGAGGCTTTTTGGATGTCCTGCGAGAGAGTTACAATTCCAAGACTGGATCTGCGCGCCTGTACCTTCAAAACAACGGAGACTCCGGGGGGTGGGAGCTCCGCCTCCGACGATCAAGGTAGAACGTGTTCGGATGTAAAAAGTGCGGAATGTAAAGGGGGATCAGGCTCCTCTTAGAAGAGAAGTGATCATCTAGCTATCTCAGACAGCCTCGAAGTCCAAGCCTTGGCTCTCAAGAAGTGCAATTAAAGCTGGAGTTATTGCTCAGCAATTAATGTACACGTGTGTTTTATGATTTCTGAATGTCGTTACCCAAGGGAGAACATCTCCCTTTTATAGGGTCTCGTAATGTGTGCCTGTCCTAGGTTTACGGGACACCTAGGTTTGACTAGGCTTCCTTGGAGTATGGGCCTTAAAAGGCTGCTTGTCCAAGTTGGCTATGTCTGCCACGTGTCATGCCCTGATTGGTCCACTTGGACACTTCACTGAGTGACACGTGGCGAACTCTGGTTGGTCCACGTGGATGACACGTGAAGGATCCTGACTGGTCCATATGGAGGACACGTGGCAGAACCAGATTGGTCCATATGGCGGGGTAAAAATCCCTAATCATTTGCCCCTCACAGGGGTGACCGTGGCTTGTCACGTGGCACTTGTGATAGGCATCAACTTGTGAGTGGAGGACGGTTTTAACCGTTTTTCTCACTCTTTTTGAATTTTTGAATTTGAAGGGTGACCCTTAGAATTCTCATGCCCCCCCCCCCCTATATAAGAGAGACGTCCTAATCATATGTTCACAGTTTTGCAAGAAAATTTTTGGACGTAGAACCTCTAGTTTTTTAGAACTTAAGATTTTCTTAGAAAAACTTTGGACCACCTGTTCCCTGACCACTTGTCCGTTACAGTCGACTGAGATACTTTACAAGCGCCTCCAACACCTTCAATTTAAAGGTAACTGCCTGTTTTCTCTCGTACTTTAACTTGTTCTTTTTTCCTTTTTGAAAAATGGTTTCCCAAAAGCATACGGCACGTCCTAGGTTAGTGATCAGCCGGTCACCGGGGACGGCTGAGTCTAGAACTAGGAGTGCCGACTGCCGCTTGATAGACCTCTCTTTGCGAAGTACCCCGAGTCCGACAGTCTATGTGTCTGTGCAGGACACCATGGCCAGAATCAAGCAAACTTCCAGACAGACGAACCCAGATGACTCCTTTAGGGCGCCTCTTAGTGAGCTGTTGGACAGGCCGCCTAGAACCCTAAGTACCCCAAGTGATTCTATTTTAAATGAATCAGGGGATGAGCTTCAAAATAAGGACTCGGGCTCCGTTGGACAGGCCCACCATGCGGACACTAGGTCCGAGAGCTCAGGCAGTGACTTTAAGACAAGAACTTCAAGCAGAGTTTCTGATAACTCTGAAGAGAAGCACTCTCGGCTCGAGACAGCGAGAGAATCCCTTTCAGTTGAAATGGGAGAAGACTAGGCGGAGCCGTCTGCTACCCGCCGAGAGCTATATGCCGCCTATTATCATCATGTTCCCGCAGGCAGGCAGAAAATGATGGCAGACAAAATAGGGAGCTTCAGAGCTGACCATGTCATGGGGCATGGTTTTATTTTATGTACACCGGATGCTGAGGACAGCGTAGTCTGGTCAGAGGGGTCCAACTACGGGGAAGAATGTTTTGGCTGCTTTGAGGCGGCTATTAAGGCTGGCCTCAGATTTCCTCTACATCCGGCTGTGAAACGAATCCTGGACGGATACCAGCTGGGTGTTTGGCAACTGGCCCCAAATTCTGGGTTCAACATCTTAGGCTATGTTGCCGGCTGTGAAATACATGAAGTAGACCCTAGCTTTGAAGCATTTGCCCACATACACTATCTAAGCCGAACCCCTAAAGCAAGCAGGTCCGGCTGGTACACTTTGTCTAGCCACAAGGGCTATATGATGACTTTAGGGAAGGAGAACAAATGGAAAGACTGGAGAAACACCTTCTACATTGTCTCCAGCCCTAACAAAGTCAAAAATAAAAAGTATAATAGGTGGAACAGGAACCCCCCTTTTCTAACAGGTGGATCAGAACTGCCGCCTGTTCTTAGGAAAACCAGGGAAGAGATGCTGGATAAGGGCCTTTTCAAGGTGGACATCCAAGCCAACAGAGAGACTGGGGCGAGAGAGTTCATTCCCCAGAGCTACATTCCCAAGTATGACTTGCTATACGATGGGACCTATCTGGCCGCCTGTGGCCTTAATGTAGAAGAGCTGAGAGATAGTTGACCATATGTTTAAGAGCTTAGCAAGACTTGATTTATTTTGTGTCATACTTAGCCTTTTGAATCTTCTTATGCAGATAAAGCCATGAAGAAGCTCTTGGCATCCAAGAAAGCTGCCGCACAATACCGCTCGGCCATCCTTGGCAAGCAACCAGCAAGCAGGCGCCCAAGGTGAACTTCTTTTCCATTTGTCTAAGTCAAAACTTATTTGTTGTCGCCTACTTCTCACTATGTGGTTTTTGTTGCAGGGCGACTCAAACAAACCCTCTCCCCAATCACAGCCGGATCCGAAGATTCGGAAACAGATGGCTGGTGACATGACAACTCCTGGTAGACCTAGGAAATATGTGGCCAGTAAGCCAGGGAGGAGCCATTGTCCCAAGTCTTCAGCCGTCCCTGAGGTCAGCCGCCCTCAGAAGGAGAAGGAGGTGGTGGCTGAAGGTATCAAAAATTTTAATCCTTTACCTTACCCTTGTAGGGTCAAGTTCAATCAGCAGTTGTTTAGTACCTCTGAAAGCAGTTGGTCCATTAGCCGAGTTTACACCAAGTACTTAAAAAATGTTGATTGTGCAGATACCCCTCAGAGGCCAGATCTTCAACAGCTGGCCAAGACCATGCTGAGAGCCGTCTCCCTTGAAGACAGGGAGTCGGTCAGGGGAGTCGGCACCCTCAACTTGGATTCCATCCTCGCCCTTCTAGGTGAGGTATCCTTGTAATTTTTACTTTTTATTTTTACACAACTCTTAGAGCCGCCTGTTACTAATGTTCTGTTTTGCCGAATGCAGTCTATATTGCGAGTGCACGGACTTCGCAGGCCCATCAATGATAAGACCAAGGAGGTTAAAGCTGCGAATGCTCGCTCCGCCTTTTCTCATGATAAGGCCATGTTTCAGATTGCTCAAAAATGAAATATTGACAACTGACATACTATATTCACAGGCGACCGCTAACCTGCAGGTCAAGGCTGACTTGGACGCTGCGAAGAGGCAGGTCTCTTAGCTGGAGCAGCAGGTCAAGGACCTTAAGGCCAAGCTCAAGCCTCTCAAAGAGGCG